GCACAAATTTCTAACCTGTGAACTGTGAGATATCATAAAAGGGCAGTTGCCATAAGTCATTAAGTTTTGGAGCACAGTTGTCACACGGCAATATGTAACCACTAGAGTAGGTCCCGGGGAGGCCCAGGCACTGTCACATTTCACAGGCACTTGAGGTGGTTCTGATGCACGGGCCAAGGAGACACTTTGAGAAGCCTGGGAAGAGGAACCGACTCCAAGGCCAAGTGCCCCCAAGGTGCAAGTCTACATCACATCATACGGGGAGACAAACGGGAAGAGGCAAGGCAGAGCCAGAGAAAAAGAGAGCAGAGTACATTGAGGAAGAGGAAAAAGAAAAGAAAAAAAAAAAGGAGAGAAGAGGACCAAGAACTGCTTGGAAGCAGAAGAGGCAGAAAACCAAACAACTCAATTCCACGAGCAGTGATTCCTGCCTCCTCCGTGCGGGTGTGGGAGATATGGAGACAGCATGAGCCAGCCCTGCCTTCGTGGAGTTCACATTCTAGGCACAGAATGGCACAGAGAGAGGGTGACAGAGACAGGGCAGAAAAAGAGAAATAGGGCAGGGCCAATTCTGAGGTCAAGGCCAGCCTGGGCTCTCTGGTGAGTGAAGGACGCCAGCCCGGGGCGTCCTTCACTATCACAAGGTCTTTCTTGCTCTTCCCTCTGCATAAAGCCCCCTGGAAGGGGAGGTCACCCTGTAGGTGAGAGTCAAAGGACAAGGGACATGGGGAGAGGTGCTGCAGAAGGGGAATGGCAAGTACAAGGGCCAGTGGGGGTGCAGGGGTTGGGAGGGAGCAGATGGGGAAGTGGGCAAGGCCAAATTCAGTGACAGGTTGAAGGCAAGTGAAGTCCAGGTATGAGGAAAATTGGAGAGCATGAATCTGCTCCAGGCGTAGGGCTCCAAGCCAGAATCTGGGTCCCACGTCTTCCTTGGAAAGGCTTATTCATGGCCCTGTTGTCCTCGTAATACAAATGGCAGAATATGACAGACAAAATTTTGGCTGGGGAGAGGCTAGGCAGAAGATAGGTTGAGAAGGCCTCAAGGGAGGCGTTTAGATATTTAATCAACAAACACTGATTACGCATCTACCATGTGCTGGGACTAGGAATACAACAGTGAGCAAAGTCACTCAAGGAACTCAAGGTCTAGAGTGTGATGACAGAACAAGACACAGAGGATGAGCAGTGTGACAGGAGGGGATAAGATGAAAAAAAGGGCGGGTCCTCTCTAGGAAACAGACAAATGGCCAATAAGCACGTGAGAAGATGCTCAACTTGACTAATCATTAGGGAAATGCAAATAAAAACAAAATGAGATACTATTTCACACTGATTAGGATGGCTATTATTTAAAAAAAAAGAAAATAACAAATGTTGGTGAGGATGTGGCGAAATCGGGACCCTTGGGCATCGCTGATGGGAATGTACAATGGCGTAGCTGCCGTGGAAAACAGTATGGCAGTTCCTCAAAAAATTAAACAGAATTACCATGTCATTCAGCAATTCTACTTCTGGGTATATACCCAAAAGAACTGGAAACAGAGTCTCAAGATATTTGCACACCCACGTTCGGAGCAGCATTATCCACAATAGCTAAAACACAGAAGCAACCCAGCATCCACTGACAGATGAATGGACCTCATGCAATGGGATGCTCTTCAGAAGTCCTGTCACATGCTGCAACGTGGACAAATCGTGAAGATATCACACTGAATGAAACAAGCCAGTCACCAAAGGACAAATACTGTATGATTTCTCTTAAATGAAGTCCCTAGAATAGTCGAATTCATGGAGACAGAAAGTAGAATGATGGTTGCCAGGGCTGGGGAAAGGATGAGATGCACAATGTTTAATGCAGCGGTCCCCAACCTTTTTGGCACCAGGGACTGGTTTCATGGAAGACAGTTTTTCCACAGATGTCGGGGGGCCGGCAGGAGGCAGAGCTCAGGCGGTGATGCCAGCGATGGGGAGCGGCTGTAAATACAGACAAAGCCTCCCTCACTAGCCCCGCAGCGCACCTCCTGCTGTGTGGCCCAGTTCCTAACAGGCCACGGACCGGTACTGGTCCTCAGCCCAGGGGTTGGGGACTGCAGATTTAACAGATACAGATTTTCAATCTGGAGATGGATGGTGGTGATGGTTACACAACAATGCAAAGTGTACACTAAACTGTACGCTTAAAATGGCTCAGATGGCAACTTTTATGTTATGCATATTTTACAATAAAAAATTTTTTTAAAAGAGAGTAAGAGGAAAAACTAGTGCTGAGCAGGGAGAAGCTGGTTTAGATGGGGAGGGAGGTCTCGGAAGGGTTAGCTGGTCAAGCACCATCTGGGCAGAGATGTGTGTTCAGAGGGAGAGTGACTGGGGAGGGGGAGGGCACTGGGCAGGGGTCCAGTACCAAGGCCTGGCCCAGGCAGACACCCTGGCAGTGAGGAAGAGGGGACAGTTCCAGGAGACGATGGTCTGCGGGGAGAAGGGGGATCTTGGGGACCCACAGGGTTCTGACTTAGAGACCAGACTTGGGGGAGGGCAGGAGTGTGGCTCAGAGACCCAGGATGGAGCAGACCACACCTTGCAGAGGTTTAACTGAAGACAGCTTGCTGAAGGGACGCTGCACAGAGAAGAATGGACCAGCAAGGGACAGAGAAGCAGCCAACGACTTAAAATAGTAGGAAGCTGTTGCCACCTCTAGGCCTCAGATGCCACAGAGCCGGGCCAGAAGAAGAGGGGCTGGAGAGAAATTCAGCAGGGGAATAAAACACCTGACCACCCTCGTCCCGCCTCCCACCCTCCATTGTCGGAGTGATGCTCCCCTTGGATGACCCCAACTAGCCGCCAGGAGCAAGGGAGGCTGGGTAACCCGTCTGTGGAGGCAGCCTCTCCCGAGGCCCAGAGCAGAGCAGAGAAGGGCGGAGAGTGGACCCAGAGGAGCAAACAGAGAAAAACCAGCACAGATGGTGACACCATTTGTTGAAATGAGTAATGCAGGGAAGGAGCGCTTTTTGGGAAATTAGCAGGCTGGGAAGGCAAACCAAGGTAGAGATCTGTCCCTATGAGCCAGGGCAAGGGGGTACAAGGGCTGAGGGAATATTGGGACCGAGAGGTGGCCTAGGCTTCCAGGGCTTTCCTATTCCAGGTCTGGTAGAATAGAGCGCCCCAAGGCCCCTGGGGGAGACGGCTTGTAGCCAGCGTGCAGCCCCACCCCCTTCTTCCCGGAAGCATTTCCCATTGCAAAACCAGGGAGGCAGGGGCTGTATGAGGGAAGGGCAGGAGGAGGTTTACCCAGTTGGGGCAAAGTGTTCCCAGGCACTAATTCCAAACAGAGTTGAGGCCAGGGCTGGTTAGGAACCAAATCAATGTGGTGAGGTTTCGTAAAGCCAACTTCGTTTAAGGAATGGGCTTCGCTCTTTGAGATGACACCACGTCCCTGCACCTCATCTGGTCTCCCTTCATCCCTGCCACACACCCAGCCATGGCTCCTCTCGCCCCAGGCCCCCAGGGCCTCTCTTAGCCTTGATCTGCCTACTCCTTGCTCTGCTGTGGGAGGCCCAGCCAGGGAGAGGGAAAGCCCTTCCCTGGAAGGGGAGTGAGCAAGCGGACTGGTGCTAGGCCAGCCCAAAGCCCCAGCAAATGAAATATTCATGTAGCCAGAAGGCAGGAGACCAGAAGAGGGCTCGCCCCTAGGGCTATGGGGCTGCAGTGCTGGCAGCAGCAGCTGTAGCCCACCCCTCTCCCCTACCTCTACCTTTGTTCTGCAAACAGTGCAAGGGCCTGCAGCTCAAGGTTCTACACAGAACACTCTAAAGACACAGGTAGGAGAGGAAACCTGGGGAAAGGAAGAGGGGAGGGGGTGAGGGCACACATAGACACAGAATCCAGAAAGACATGGACACAGAAACAGACCCACAGACACATATACACAGATGGGAACATACACACATAATGTGCACACACATAAACCCACACACACACTCATAACAAACGTACACACAGACCCTGGGATGACTCTTAGTGTCATGTAAATGCTTCTTAAATCTGCACACCAGGGCTGGGACCAGTGGCTCACGCCTGTAATCCCAGTGTTCGGGAAGGCCAAGGTGGGAGGATCGCTTGAAACCAGCCTGGGCAACACAGGGAGACCTCGTCTCTACAAAAACATTTAAAACCTTAGTCGGGTGTAGTGAGACCCTGTCTCAAAAATAAAATAAAATAAAATAAAATTTTTTTAAAAATACCTGCACCCCAGGCGTCTCACTTGCCTCACCCCCTGTCCTGCCTGCTCTGGCACTTCCAGCCCTGCCTCCTGAGACAGCTACCGGGACATCACAGACGGGCTTGAAGCAGGGGCCTCCACGCTCCTGGCTTCCAGGGAAAGGTCTCTGGGCTTCCAACCCCGGCCCCGCCCCTGAATTAATTTCCTCCTCTCAGCAGCTCACCGAAAGGGCGGGGTCGGGGGGAGCTGCAGGACGGACAAGCTGCCCAAAGTCACCAAGAGTAACCAAAGGGTGACTTGAACTCCCGGCTCCAGACTCCGAACCCAGCAACATCGAAGGCCCAAGGATTCCGTTCTCCTTGGGATGTCTCTTTCCCTGTTGGGATATCTCTCACCCTTTCACCCCACCCTGCCCGGCCTCGGTCTGGCCACCGGAGGCACAGTGACAGGGGCATCCTGGGGTGTCTCCCAGCCAACTGACGCCCTCTTAGACACTGACTTCTCGGACAAAGTCCTGGCGAGGACTCGGCGTATTGTCCCTCCCAGATCCAAACTAATAACCTCCCTTGCCCCAGGCGCCTCCCAGGGCCGGCGTGCCCCCTACCCGCAAGCTGGAGAACAGACGTCCCCGTGGGGGAAGGTCCTCCCCCGACGCCCGGTCCGTCCCCTCCGCTGCGGGCGGCCCTCCAGGCCTGCGGAGGGCGCTGTGGGCGCCGGCGCCGTGCCGCTCTGGCCGGCGGGCGGACGAAGAGGCTGCCTCCATGGTGGTGCGCTGTCCAGCATTTCAGCAAGCGGCGGCGGCGGCGGCGCCCGCGGGGACAGAGGGCGCGGAGCCGCGGGGCCGCGGAGCTGCCCGGCCCAGCCGAGCCGAAGAGGCGGCCCAGACAAGCGGGACCGGAGGGGCTGGCTCCAGCGCCGCAGAGCGCGGCGGTCAGCGGGGAGGTGAGAGCCCCTAGTGGGGCGGGGGCATTTCCCAGAGGGGCTGGGGCTGGGTCGAACCTCGGGCCTCCTCAGTCGAGCCGGCCGGAGCCCCAGGCCCCGGAGCAGAGGGGCGGTGTTGAGGGACTGCTAGAGTGTCTGTCCGGGCGTGCGGGGCACCCAGGGAACAGAGACGAGGAATGTTATTCATTTCACCGAGAGGAATGGAGAAAGAGAGGACCCTGCGGGGTCGCGGGCAGGACTCCCCTGGGCATAAGTGACCATGACCCGGCCTATGAGGATGCCAGGAAGGTCCTTAACCACAGTCCAATGCCCTACCCCGCCGAGGGGAAGGACCTGTTCCCCAGGGAATGGGGAGACCGACGCAAGGACCCTGTGGAGACGCTGGTCACTGGTGTGGTGTAGGGAACAGGCCCCCACCTGGATGCTGCGCCTCTGTCCAGCAGGGGGTGCCGGCATAGGGGACAGTTCGGCCTCTTTCCCAGCTGCCCAAATGCCCCTGGGGAGACAGGAGCTGGCAACCAGAACTGGGTCTCACACAGGATGGCATTTACTCTCACACTAGGAAAAGGATGAAGGACACAGCACTAGGAGTTTGGGCGGAGGGTGGGGGGGTACTCTGTGGCCCCTCTGGATGCCCAGAGAGAGTTTCTAGGGCCCAGCCCCAGGGCGAATTCCTGGTGAAGAGGAGAGCTGAGGAAAGACACGCAGGTTCTGCCTTGCGTCCTCCTCCCCCTCCCTCCCAGGGCTCCTGCCTGGACAGTGTTGAAGCCTCCTGCAGCTCCCGCTCCTGGCAGCAGGTCCACTGTGGGGATGGGCTTGGGGCGAGCAAGAGAAGGGCATGGAGGTCTGACCTGGTACTTCAACGCCTGTGCTCTGTCCCAGCCATAACTTCTCCCTCCCCTAAGGCCTCACTCACTCTGGTATCAGAGGCCTGAGCTGGTCTTTTGTCCCATGTTGACAGAAAAGGCAGGTACACTACTTTGACAGAGAGCAGGGCAGTGGCTGTTGAGTTCCTCTGTCCAGGGGGCATCTTAAGGTCATGGCCCCAGCTTGTGCCAGATTCTTCCTCAGCCAGAAATAGGTAGGACCAAGCTGGCTAGGAAATTGCTCCCACACTCCACCAGCGTTTTCGTTCCTTAACTTGATGCCCCGTCCCACTCTCCTGTGGGATGGAGGAGGTAGTCTTAAAGAGTGACTAAAAAGTCAACTGGATTTTAACAGGTGGAGGTGGGTGGGTTGGGTGACTTCATGGACTCTGAAGTCAGAGAGACATGGGATGTGACCTCAGGTAAGCCACTTGACCTTTCCGAGCCTATTTCCAAATCTGTACAACAGATAGAGTGTTAACAATATCTACTTTGCTGTTGAAAGAAATAATTCAGGTAATGGATGGGAAACTACTTTTAAGCTATAAAATGCTGGATGAGTGTTAGCAAATGGATACAAGTAAGACTTTCTTAAAGAGGAGCTGGATAAAGGTGGACAAGTGTTCAGCAGTGTTTGTAGCATGTCTTTCTCTTCCTAGAGGACATTGGCCGAGGGCCATGTACCAGGCTCCGTGCTAGGCACATGCTACAGTTGGCTCAGCTAATCCTCACAAAAGCTTCATTGTCCCTATATCATAGCTGAGAAAAAAGGCTTGAGTGACTTTCCAAGGTCATGAAGCCACTCGAGCTGTCTTCCCTGGGGCAGGAGTGTTGCGGATTACCTGTCCCAACCTCTTGATGTCAAGGCCCAGTTAAGTGCCTGTGTCTTGATTCATGATGCCAGCTTTACAGGTGGGGAGCCTGAGGCACAGGGTGAGGGTGTGCAGTGCAGTGAGGAGGTGACTCCTCCAAGGTCACTGGGATATTTGGAGGTGGACTGTGTTTTGAACTGACCAGCTGGATGCCACCACCGCTGTCACGCCTGCCAAACGAGGAGTCTGGGTCTGACAGGCCCATCTGCTCTCTGCCGCACCCACTTCCCGTCTCCTCTGCCTGCCAGCCTCTCGCTGACCTCGGCAAGCTGGTGGTCGCCTGTTCCTTTCTGAGTGCTTAACTCTCACCTCCTGAGATGGCCCGTTGCACCAGCACTGCTGGGGGCAACCTTCCCTACTGACTTTTCTCCTCCTCCTCCAACATCTTATTGTCCCCATGGACAAAATCATAGCTCTTCCTGTCCCAGAAGCCAGCCAGGCACTGAGGAGGAAGTCAGGGGGACTCAGACTCTTCCTTAACTCCCACACACACTCTGAGCCCCTGCCCGTGGGCCTGTCACTTCACATACATGGTCTCATCTTATCCTCACATCACCCGATGCCAAAGGTGCTGCTGTCTCCCTTTCACAGAGGAGCAAAACAAGGCCTGGAAGTGTGACATGACTTTCCCAAGGTCACAGAGCAAGGTCTTGGTGCAACCGAAGCCCACTGCCTTGAGGGCCCAGGGTGGCTTCCACAACACCCCTCTGCCCTCAATTCTCCATGCCCTCCAGGGTAAGGGTCTCCCAGGGCACTGTGGGCCAGCAGGTGTTAGGGGGTGGCATGTGGTAGAGGCAGTGGAAGGAGTCCAGGACAGGAGTCCAAGGACCTTCTTTCTGGGCCCTCCCCTGATTCCAGCTCCTTGTGTGACCTTGAACAGGTCCCTTCCCATCTCTGGGCCTCTGTGTCCCTAACCATGAAATTATGGGCTTTGATCAGATGACCCCCCTCACCTGAAGGCCCTGTAAGCACCAAATTTTGAGATCTCTCTTCCCTCTAAGTGTTGGGAAGCCTGTGGTTTCATCGGCAGCAGTAGAAATCACCTCCAGTGTTTCAAGCTTTGAAAGGTTATTTGGAGCTAAGATTTCAAATTCAACTGTCCCTCCCACCTACAGACTTGGGGTCTTAAACGAAGGGGGAAGTATCGCTTGGAGAGGCCCGGTGGCTCTCCTGGAGATCCCAGGACTCTTTGACTAAACCAGGATCAGGCCCTTTGGCCCAGAATTTGAAGTGACTCGCACGCAGGGACACTGAAGGTGCCCTCCACACACCTCCCAGAGTTGTTCGCCAGAGCCCAGGAGGCCTCCAAGGCACACACACAGGTCCAGGGAAGCAGCAGGGATGCAGTGGCTGAGGTTGATTCATGGAGCTTGGGGGAGAAGAAGGGGTTTTGCAGCTGATGTTCTATAGAGAGGAGGCAGGGCCCAAAGGAGGCTCTGGTCAGTATGGTGACTGGTCCTGCTGAGAGGGGAGGGGTGGGAAGAAATGGAGGAGAAATTTCTTCTCAATTTCAACTCCTTGGCTTGGTGAAGGAGCAGGCAGCTCAGCGAGGGGAAGGGTGTGATGGGGGGAGGGGGTGAGGAGGGCCTCCCTTGCTGTGTCCCCCGAGGCTCAGGAGGAAGGGGCTCAAGGAGGTGGTGCTCAGAGGAGAGCAGCTTTCCTGTCCATGAGAGGGGAGGAGTCAGGCGGAAGGCGTTTTGTGAGGTGGGGGCACTTGGTAAGGGGCAGTGAGTTTAGAGAGGAGGAGGGGGTGGTCAGAGAGAGAGCAGGAGGCCCAGAGGAACAGAGGGGCCTGTGACAGGGAGGGTCTCATTACCAGCCATGACAGACCCCAGCCTAGCCTAGCCTGTCTTCATTGTGGCTTAGCACCTGCTGACACCTCCAGATTCCTGCCCCGCCACCCTCTTCAGGTCATGAGCACAGGAGGATGACACCTCCATCCCCAGAGGCTCAGCCCTGTGGTCCCCTTGTCCTCCAGAACGGGGCTCTTAGGGGGCCTGGGCAGGCGAGCCACTCCCAAGTTACCCAGGCTGAGAGTCAGAGAAAGGCCTCAGTGGCCATGTGTGCCTTGGCTCCAGAGCAGCCCCTAACCCCCAGGGACTCCCCCTGTAGCCTAGAGCCGCCAGCCCATCCGTCTGCGACGCTGCTTCCTGGGCAGTCAGCCTGGCCCCAGCCTCTGCCGCCCCCGCCCTGGCCTCCTGCCCACTGCAGAGCTGCTGTGCTCCCTCAGCATCCTGCCGGGGCCTCTGAGGGCTATGATGACCCCAGGGACCAGGCGGCTTCCTCAGTCGAGGAGCTACAGCACTGAGCCCCCTCCCCACCGCCGTTCCCTAGAATGTCCCAGGTTGGAGACGGGAAAGAGCAAGTTGTACTGAATTCTTCTGATTTCAAAAATGGCACATCTTCACCGTACAATAGCCCCACCACCCAGAGATGACCACTGTGAATCTAGTGGGGTGTTTTCCATGTGTTCATAGACGCATAGAGTTAAATAACCCGGGACATGCCGCGGGGGGTGGGGTCTGCATCCTGTCTTTCACTCCATCGTGAGCATTCTCTGATGTCCTTAAAGATTCTTCAAAAAACATCCTTTTAAATGGCCTCATAAAGACTGGGCATGGGTGGGGCTGCTTCCCAGGGAGCCAGTGAGAGCAGCAGAGAGCGCCTCCGCTTGCCCTGCCCCTCTTGGGTGGGCACACCTTTGGGGTCTGTGGTGTGAGATTCCCTTGGCCAGGATGGCTTTATGGTGGGGAACAGGTTTTCCAGAACAGAATGTGACATCAACCTGTTTCCTCAGTACCCCCTCTGCCAGGGGCTGAGGTGGGGGGTGGCCAAGGCTGCTGGAGAAGGAGGGCCTGAGAGTGCCACATACCCCCAGGGAGGGCAAGAGCCTGGGTCCAACCAGACCCCGGAAGAAAGCAGCGCTCAGAGCCGGAATCAGGTGATTCCCAATCTCCTGCGTTGTCATCTCAGCTGGGCCCCCACCTCCACTCTCGGGTCTGTTTCCTCTCCTAGAAAATAGTCATCATAATACCTGCCTCCAGGTGCGATATGAGAAGTGACTCAGGTCACGGGTTTGAAAGCACCCAGAGAACGGTAAAGCCCGGTGAACTCCTGCGTGACAGCGGTCACCGTTTGAGTGGGGAAGACTGTACAATGGACATTTGCTTGGTGCCTCCTATTTTCTGGCCCCGGTATGAGCCCTGAGGATGCAGGGGTGAACCAGACACTGATTCTGACCCTGGGGGGCTCCTGGACCGGT